AGCTCTACATCCATCTTGCCTCGATGCATCTCCTTGGTCTACTTACTTCCTCTTCGTCGTTAGGTATCAATGTGTGCTCGGCAAGAACGTTTTGTGCTTGAGCGCAATCAAGTCGTGTTTTACTGTAACTTCAGCAGCTCCAGGCATGTGAACAAAAGCGGCAATCTCATTGGCCGGCCAGTTTTTAACGCGGCGCGTCAAACCAAAAAAACGAGCCCGAGGCGTTTTTAAAAAAAATTACGCTTTTACGCCTCGTGTTTTGCACGTCGGTGTGCACACTCACATTGGCGCCCTTTGTTTAGTCACAAGGCGTTAAACGTCGGTGATAATCGCGCGTGATAATTGTCCCGGTGTGCACAAGCCTTAATACATGTATTGAAATTTCTCACTAGCAAAGATCTTGCAAGTCAGACATTTTAATATTAAAGTTGGCATGAAATGAAAAATTAAGCCTATTTTTTTAAATGCATGTCACTGATCTTATTGTGAACAGATTATCTGAGCATATGTTTATTTCTTTTCTTTTCTTTTCTTTTCTTCCTTGTAATTCTTAAAATTCTTAATCACAATGTCATAACTCAATATTCCGGTAAAATGACAGACTTTTAATTTTTCTTTTTAATTTTTTGATAATACATAACAACCCCCGCCTTCATTTTATAGCTTTTAAAATCTGACTTTTTTTGTGAAGAACCGCCTTATGTTTTCTGCTTTTATATACATTTTCATGTAAAATCTGTCTTTAAAATGTTAGTTAAGCATAATTAACCCCTCATTACCTTAAAAAAATTACTCATTACTCAAACACAGTAACTAATTATTGTGGATAAGTATTATATTATATTATATACAAGTATTTTTAAACAATTTTTATAATTAGACTTTAATCCTTTTTGTACTGCATTTTATATATTTTTTTAAACCTTAATTTTGCCAATGACAATGTTACAATGATGAGGATCTTATGAGAAGCACCATTGGGAATAATGAGAATTACAAAGAAACTTAAAACATTCCAGAGACATTTTAGGCTAAATTGTGCTTAATTGTCATGGAAATAATGACACAATATTAATGGTCCTAAATCAGGCTTCATTTTCTTCAGGCAAAATATACTTATTTCTTTCTTTTTTTGGAGTTGTGAAATATGACCTCTTCTTGACAGGTTTCACCCATTAAATTGTACAACAAGTTAAGTGCCAAGAATATTGACTTACTCGTATGAAGACTGACCTGTGACCCTCACGTGTGTGACCTCTAGAGTAACCCCTGTGGATGTCAGCTGTTAGATACTGTGGATCATCTCATATTGACAGAGAATATCAGATGTCTGCCGCCTCGGGCTTTGCTATGTTATATTCACCTCATATAGGCTAAATTCAGCCACAAATCTTTCTGGTTAATGAGATGTTCAAATAATTAGAATGTCTTATTCACCAGGACCTGTAGGTACCTGAAATGTACCGGTTCACATTAGCTGAAAATGCAACATCCATTTTTGAATACTTGTCAAGTCATTTGTGCTATTCCATCATTATGAACTAATGGTAAACAAATCAAATTATTTAATCCTTATCAGATTTATTAGTGCTTTCTTAATATTTTTAATGCACATGTAAAAGTAATTGACTCAATGTCGTTCGCTTATATATCTGTCCTTTCACGCATATTCATCGAGAGTGAGCTGAATTATGAAAGAGATTCAGAGATGTTCCTGTGGGTAGAGAACAGGTGCATTGTGGTTCCGTGCCCTCAGACCAACCAGGTGAAGAGAAAGCTCATGTTTATAAGATCACAGGTTTTACGCTGTACTCTCGCACATTATGCAAATAATCCTGCAGTCCTAGCAGTAATGACACGATGGAAAAGCATGCATTACAGAATAACGGACACACTCGCTCACACACCATTCCTCGCTGATTCTGTCCATGTAGACACTGGGAGTGTGTGTGAGAACAGCTACCGTTGACACTGATTTATAAGTGATCTAATCAGAAAAATGAGAGAAAACCTGAAAAAAGGTATTTGCAGGCTCGCAGTGATTTCTGGGCTGTTCATATGTGCTCATTATATCCAAATGTGCTGCTCCATTTCAGGCAATATGAAGAGTGCTAAATAATTCACAAGATGCTGGGATCAAACGTCTGCCTCTGTTTGTGCTCTTCTGAACGCAAACGGTATGTGTTGGTGGGTTAAAGTTTGGGGTTCTCTGGTACTAACCTTTTGGTGACATTCAGTATGTATATCGATATATTTATTCTAAAATAAAGTTTTTTTTTTTTAATTTCACACAAATTTTTCTGGAGAATTTACTACTTATATATAATAAATCAGAGTTTTGAGTTAAAATTGATTCAGACCGGTTTGAAAAGACATGAGGGTGAGTAAATTATAATATTCATTTTTAAATCTGTTCAGAATTTTGGGGCCCTGTGATGCAAAGCTGAATTTTCAGCATCATTACTCCAGTCTTCAGTGTCACATTATCCTTCAGAAATCATTCTAATACGCTGATTTGCTGCTCAATAAACATTTCTTATTATTATCAATGTTGAACACAACTGTGCTTGTGCTGCCTAATATTTTTGTGCTGTCTAATATGTATATATATATATATATATATATATAGCTAGATGCAGAGTTTTGCGAAGCAAAACATATACTTGCTTCCATATACTTGCTTCCATATGCTTCCATATACTTTCGTAACACACACACACACACACACAGTCACACCACTGCACAGAAAATCAATGGTTCTGCTCATTGGTATATTGCGTTGGGTCAGTGTCTAATATGCTAATATGTATATATATATATATATATATATATATATATATATATATATATATATATATATATATATATATATAGCTAGATGCAGAGTTTTGCGAAGCAAAACATATACTTGCTTCCATATACTTGCTTCCATATGCTTCCATATACTTTCGTAACACACACACACACACACACAGTCACACCACTGCACAGAAAATCAATGGTTCTGCTCATTGGTATATTGCGTTGGGTCAGTGTGTCATTCATGATTCTCTCCTCTGTCCTGTGGTCATCAGATTAGCTCCAGACGTCTAATAAAATTGAGTGATAATTTGACACAGTCATTGTGATGTGGGTTAGTGCGCTCACCAGATTAATCTCTGTGGAATTGGCAGGGAATTCCCTACGGATCAGCACGTTTCCCAGTCAATCTCTCTCTGACGGATGTGATGTTTTCATTTGAGGCTTCTTATTGCCATTGAATTTACTCAGGTGTTATGCTTAGGTTTCTTTCAGAAGCTAAAATAAAGCCATACATGTGTACTCTCTCTCCACACACACACACACACACACACACACACAGGACTGTGTGAGAGAGTCTATTAGACAGATTCCTGTTTATTCAGTGGGAATCACTGAAGCAGTGAGAGGTCAGAGGTCAGACTGGGTTAGACAGTCACATAGATTTAACTTAACCTCTCTTTCCTCCGTATGTGATACTGTTCTGTGCGTGATCTGTGTGTTTATGTGTGTGTGCATCTGGTTTGGCACATACTGAAGTAGCCAGTGTGTTTATTCATGGGATAGTTCACTTAGAAATGAACATTTTATTATAATTTGCTCATCCTCATACTACTCTAACCTGTATTATTGTCATTCTTCTGTGAAATATACAAGGAGATGCCAGTTGTTCTTGTTCATACTGTTAAAGTTGATGGTGATATTTAGTATCAAAGTCTAAAAAGGACTAAAAAAAGCACTAAAAGTAATTTAAATACCATGCATGCTAAGTCTTCAATCTGAAGACCTGTCAAAAGAGACAGGTGTTTGTGAAATGGCTAACCAGCCATTCAGATCCATTGAAACTCTGGCGAAATCTGTGTAATGGGGAAGATAGTGTGCTGACCTGTGGAAATAGTGGTCTTGTCTGAGACCACAAGATCAAGACTCTATAATTCTGGGTTCGGAGAGCATTTACCTCTCAGATTTCTCCAGTAAAGAGATTACGTTTTCCCAATCTAAGTGAATTCTCTTTCTCTCTGTCTGTTCTCCAGATCTGGATAAGCCTGTACTCACGGTGCACCAGACGGTGGGTGATGTACGAGGGAACTACTATCAGGAGAAAACAGTGTTTTTACGCTGTACGGTAAACTCCAACCCTCCCGCTCGCTTTATCTGGAAACGAGGAAATAAACCAATCGAACAGAGCAAAGACAATGGCGTGGACATCTACGAGCCTCTGTATACACAGGTACAACAATATCATGACTTGTTTTGTTTTGTTTTGTTTCGGTCGTAACCCTACACCTGACCCTTACAACCCTTTCTGGATTTTTACAATTTCAGTAAGAAATGATTTAGTAGGTTTATTAAGCTTTTGTTGTTGTTGACTGTTGACTGTCTCTATAATTGGACATAATAGACTATTTCATTTCAATTCATGAACATTTCATGAACATCTCTGGGTGTCCCGAAAGCGACTTTTAGTCCGTTTAAGTTAACTTTTGCAAACAATTTTGTCCCAAAAACTAAGAAAATCCCAACCACTCCCACACACAGCTTTACAATATGCAAGTTTTCTCTATAGGCCTTACTTTCCCTAACTCAGAAAATAGTTTAATTAGAGTTAATAATCATTTGAATAGCAGATAACCACAGGAGACCCGCTCAATCACAGAGAAACGTACTCAATAAATCAGCAATCCATCAGTGATGAATTCATAATCGGAGTACTTATTAATAAAGAGTTGTTTGAATAAGGCGGGATGGATGGAGATTGATGGCTTTGCCATTAATAATGAGGATTATTCATTTTCCTGATGGACTCAGTCAAAAGAATTAGAGGAATTTAAAATTCCTGAATTGATTCTCTCTTTATCATGCACACAAAGCCTCTGACATTGCATAGAAATACAAAGATCATTTTCAGGAAATTAAACGGTACCTTTTGTGCCCCATTTGTGTTCACATGAATTACTACTGACATATTTAACAGTATACAGAACTTGGTCTCATTATTTGATAGATTGAACCTTGTTTAGTGCGGAATGCACAGGATATTCTGGAGCGTTAGTTTTTTTTGGAATATCAGCCAAATTGAATGTTCCAATCCAAACCAATTATATTTGAATTGGTAATATAGAATTTAATTTAACTGTATTTCAATTGAAATATCCTTAATGTTTTATGCACTTTAACCCTGTTATGCTCTGACATTTCCTGTTTCTGACATCATATTTGAAGAAATTACATCATCACATTGTTTTCACTTTTATATTGCGACCTTTATGAACGTTTTTTTGTAGTATTTCGTAGTTTGCACTTGTCTCATCTCAACACTGTGATGCCCCAGGTGGGAAAATGTGATTTCATATTTTAAATGTGAATTACTCAACAGCAGCCAAATTATACAAAAAGAAAAATTCTAAAAGTGTAAATGGCACTGTTTGCAGAGGGTGACCGACAAACATCATTTTGTTATTATGTATAAATGCATGTTTTGACTAACAGGAAAAACTGTTTTTGTGTGATGTATTTTTACCATGTGAATGTGTGTGTGTTTGCAGGGTGAGACAAAGGTGCTGAAACTGAAAAACCTCCGTCCACAGGACTTTGCTAATTACACCTGTCAGGTGTCCGTCCGGAACGTTTGTGATATTCAAGACAGCTCTGTCACCTTTCGCCTTACCAACACCACCAGTGAGTTCCCGTCTACTCTCAAACACTCACATTCACTCGCTTCCCCTCTTTATACAGCAGCTGTAGTGAGTTTTGCACTTTAATTTTATTTTGCTCATTTCATTACAGGAAAAATATGAATTGCGAATAGAATGTCTTGTCTTTTCGCCTTCAGTTCTTTTTATTCTTTTTTTCTCCTCAAATGTTCCTTTTCCCTTGGTTATGTGTTGACCTGTCAGGTTTAATTCACCTTTCTTTGATTACATCTTCACTTTTCCCTCTTTTAATCTCGCGTTCTTTCTCTTCTGCGTTCTCTCGTTCACTGTCTGCCAGCGCTGAATAACACGTGTGTCTTTGATCATGATGGTCTCTGCACCGGTGTGTGTCTCAGGTCTCTCTGAAGGCAGACGTCACTATCATTGTGTTGTCCTGTGCTGAAATTCCTCCAAGAAATCAGCGAACTGACAGGATGTGTGATTTTGTTCTTGTTAGAGTAACACACATTGAGCTGTGGTGCACACATGGGGGGATGTGAGTTCTTGATCCCATTCCCCCTCTTCTCACTGTCATTTAAGTGTCATCTATTTCTCTTTGAATTAAAAAGTGCAAAATTGGAATTTGAGTTAGAAAAAGTGCAAAGAATATAAATTGGTCTGAGTCATAAAGGGTAGAATGACCAGGCTATATGATTTTTGTTCTGGTGAATATTTGTCAGGGTTGATTTATTGTATATAAGTCAATATACTTCAACAACGGGGCATGTTCCACACTGCTATATGGGATAAGTTGTCACAATTGGAACTTTTAAAAAACATTATTCAAATATATATTATTTATTTTACAGCTTTTCAATTGTAAAAAAATATTATTCATAAAAAATGGGAAAAGATAAAATAAGTAAATACCACAATTGTATACACTACTGTTCAAATGTTTGGAGTTTGTAAGACTTTTGAAATGTTTTTGAAAGAAGTCTCTTATGCTCACAGGGGCTGCATTTATTTGATCAAAAATACAGTAAAACAGTGATATTGTGAAATACTATTACAGTTTAAAATAACGTTATTTTTTATAAATTTTAAAATGCAATTTATTCCTGTAATGCAAAGCTGAATTTTCAGCATCATTACTCCAGTCTTCAGTGTCACATGATCCTTCAGAAATCATTCTAATATGCTGATTTGCTGCTTAGGAAAATGTCTTATTATAAACGTATAGTATTCATATTTTTGTGGAAACGGTGATAAATTTTTTTTCAGGATTCTTGACATTTTTTTTGTAAACATTTTAAATGTCCGCACTGTCATTTTTGATCATCTTAATGCATCCTTGCTGAATAAAAGTATTAATGTCTTTCAAAAAAAATTACAAATAAATCCTTCTGAACAGTAGTAGTAAATCTTTGTGAAGAATTTCCCATGTGACAACTAGCCCCATTCTCTCTTATATATGCTTTTTCACATGCTTTCAAAAGGTTTCATAGAGTGAGTAACTTCAGGGGGCTTATGAAAGCTCCTTCCTTGTAAACTAACGTTTTCTTCATCGTCAAAATAAATAGTTTGTGTAATCCATAATGAATCAAATTCACCGCAAAAGCAAGAATACGCCTGTGACTGGCAAATGAAAGAGAAATCTTTGCTAGAACAAAAAAATATGACTACAATACCCAGAGAAACCCTTTATGAATTAGTCATGTAAAAAACATGTTTGTTCGTGTTCAAATTAGCAGCATTAAGAATTCATGCTCGAGAAACAAGTTCAAAGCTTGCCGAGAATATCTAAAAGTAGCCCAAAAGTTCCCCCCTCTCTGTGTGTGTCTTTATTTCCCTCGGTTCTCGTTCTCTCTCTTGTGATGAGTTTGAAAGGCTGTTGATTCTCCTCTTTCTGCTCTCTCCACTAAAAAAGGCAGCTGTGAAATAGTCAATAGAGATGAGTGAGTTTGGAGTGACAATATCAGAAGTCTGTACCTCACGCACGCACGCACGCACACACACACACACACACACACACACACACTCACTCGCTCACTCACTCACTCACTCACTCACTCACTCTCTCTCACACACACACACACACACACACACACACACACACACACATGCCCGCTCCGCGGCACCCCATCGGTGTCCTGCCCTGTGGAGAAACAACACACTGCTGCAAATTGGAATTTGTTTTCAGAGTGGCAGGAACGCGTGGCTTGCGTACACGCAGCTCGTCGCCGAAAGAACAAAACACTGATTTGTTTTTCTGTTGATTTTCATTTTCTTTCCTCTGAACTGACGAGCAGGAAGGGGGCGAGATGAAATTGGAGGGAGCATGAGAAACACGCGTCGGATGCTGCGCTGAAGTTTGAGAAGTTCGTCTCTTTAGAGGGTAGAGTGAAGGAGACTGCATGCACTGTTTTCTATTACGGGTCGATCAAGACATGTAACTCCAAAACTAGCTGGTCAGCGTCCGCTTGTGTGAAGGTCAGTGCTCAGATCAGAGAGAAAGGACCTTTACCACTGCTTTGTCCACTATGGGGGATGGCTCTGTAAAAGCCATTTAGGGTATGATGTTATATCTAAACCATCATGGCTGATTATCTTTTTTCGTAATTGTCTCTGGTTCTCCTCTTATACACTAGAATTCACAAGTTTGGGGTCAGTAAGAAATTAAGACTTTTATTCAATAAGGACACATTACATTGATCAAAAGTGACAAAGACAATTATGTTACATTTTTCCATTTCAAATAAATGCTGTTCTTTTGAACTTTCTATTCATCAAAGAAAAAAAAAATCCAGGTTTGCACAAATAATATATATATTAAGCAGCACAACTGTTTTCAACACTGATAACAATACGACATGTTTCTTGAGCAGCAAATCAGCATATTAGAATGATTTCTGAAGGATCACGTGACACTGAAGACTGGAGTAATGATGCTGAACATTCAGCTTTGCATCGCAAGGATGAATTACATTTTAAAACATATTACACTAGAAAACTGTTTAAATTGCAATAATATTTCACAATATTACTGTTTTTACTGTGTTGTTATTTTCAAATAAATGCAGCCTCAGAGAGCATAAGAAACTTTCAAAACATTGTAAAAATCTTACCGATCTCAAGCTTTTGAACGGTAGTGTATGTCATTTTAGTTTTTTTTTATAACAACATTAATTTAACATGACTGACAAAAGTTACCTCTGAAAGACACATTTATGTTCTATTGTAATGAAAGATGTATTAAGCAATGTTAAGTCAAAAAAGGGATAATAAGTGCAAAATGCATTATATTCTTGTTATATTTTTCCTTTTTGATTTAATATTTCATGTTTCAGAAGCTTAAAGATGATTGTCTGATGAATTCAATTTTTTTTGGGAAATATCAAGTGAAATTGATGTCTAGCTGTTGCTTTGAAGGTTTTGCATTCTTAAACCAATTTTGTATAAAAATGTCTCAAGATATAGCCTACTATTGAATGAGCTGTCCAAAATCACTGATATTTCTTCCAGTTCATTCATCACACTGGAAATCGAATGTCAAATCAAGCACATTGCATTGTGGGATACAGTATTCCATGCACCTTCCTCTGTTGTATACAGTACTCCACATTTGAGCAAACGTAGTAGGCCATCAGAAAGTTTGCAAACTCTACAAAGTATGCTTACTATGTAGTGCAGCAATAGTGCAAGTACTAGTTTGTGATTCCATGTTATGATTTATTCATATTTCGCCTCACCTCAGCTGTGGTAAAATCACTGCAGCCCAGTTTCAACTGGCTTGTTGCTTTAATAGAAATCCGAGGAGACTCAAAAGGAGACTGTTTGCACTAGTATAAAAAATGTATCGTATGCCGTATTCATTTGAATCAAAAGGCAGTTTAATGATCTTTATCACTGATTAAATTTAAGTGGATTTCAGCCCTATGCATGTATATCAAAACTCAGCCTGGAAAAGATAAAAAAAAACAAAAACAAGCATGCACATGCTTTTGTTAATGCATCAGTATTTTGTGTTTAATTATATGTTTATGCATTTAATCATTTATATAGACACACAGGCACCATTTGTACAGATTGTTCAAGAGGAAATGACTGATGTAACTCAATCCCATAACACTCATGCTCAAATGAAGCTTTAATTGGATAGTTGGAAGATATGGAAGAGAGAGAGAGAGATTGTTATTATTCAGAGAAAAGAGCAAACCTGGTGGAGCATTTCTCTCTTTCAAACTGTTTTTTTTCTTCCTCTTTTAATGTTTTCATATTTTCCTCTTGGCCGAATCCCACTGCAGTAGCATATGATGAGCTGTCAGTTTAAATGCTTTAGGAGCAGGGTCTACATAGACAGCATCTCCTGACAGCAAGTCTTATTCACACATGTCAATAGAAGCTGGTAAAAATAAGATGTCATTCTGTTTTTGACAGGGAATTCATTTTCTTGCTACCTAAAATTAACATTCCAGAGGGGAAAGCTTTATATGAATATTAACTGCAGCAGTGCATAAAGCATCATATCATGAATAAGATGAACTATTATCAGATGAATCGCACTTGATCAGAAAGATGACAGTTTCTGGCATGGCTTTGTCTGGATTATATTTTCATTTATTTATTTTTTTTAATTATTATTATATCCCAGCATGTGGCAATAGACAAATAGAAGAGTAAAGTCGCTCACAGTAATACTAACTTTGTCTTGCTGATATTTGACTATAGTATCTAAGAGGATCACTTAGCTTCCCATTGATAGAAACTGCCATTCACTGTGGCTCATGTCATTTTGACATTATTTTCATGATAATTAAGCATATTTCCACTGAAATCTCAAACTTAATGCAAAACAGAAAAGGAAACCTTTTCATTTATAATAATTACTGTATATAGTTATTATAATAAAAATTCATGATTTTAAGAAATTAATCAATTAATTGTTAGGTTTATTTATTCATTATGAGGATTTATATCAAAATATTCTATTTATGCTAAAGTTTTTGTTAGTAATTGTAATATTATAATTTGCTTATGAAGCCG